TCTTGGGGTGGCTGTTCAGTGTCCCTATGGTCCCTTGGAGCTTGGCGTCATCGGTCCATTCTCCAAATGGAAAAGCTGAAGCCCACGTTGGGGAAGCCACGCAGGGGCAGAGCTGCCCTGACTGGAAACTGCTGATGTGCGGGGTGGGCTTTGGGCTCCTTGGTTCTGGGTTTGGGGGAAGGAGGGATGGAGTCAGTGGGCCACCAGCCTGGGATGCCATGTCCCCAGAGTGTCCCCCCATCGGGATGGAGTCACACCGCATTGAGGACAACCAGATCCGGGCCTCCTCCATGCTGCGCCATGGCCTGGGGGCACAGCGTGGCCGTCTCAACATGCAGGTGGGTGTCATAACAGGCTCATCTCCCAGCTGGGCAGGGCTTGTCCACCAGCTCAGCCTCCTTGCTGCCCGGACAGGCTGGTGCCAATGAGGATGACTACTACGATGGGGCGTGGTGTGCCGAGGATGACTCTCGTACCCAGTGGATTGAGGTGGACACCAGAAGGACCACCAAGTTCACAGGTGTCATCACTCAGGGCCGGGACTCCACTATCCAGTACGTTCACCAGGTTCATGGGCATTTGGTAGGGGGGCAGGTGGTCCTAGGCATGGCTCTAAGACTCCCCAGATCCCCAACCCTGGTCCCTGGCCATGTTCCCAGCTTGCTCTCCATGTGCAGATGGGCCAGTGGGCACGGGAACTGTTCCTGACCTCCAGGCCGGGCATGCCATACCCCTGCTAGCCTTCAAGTCTTGGACCCAGAAGAGGGGGTCTGAGTCGACTGAAGGCCTGGGACCTGGGGCAGGGAGACCAGTCTTGTCCTGATCATCTTCTACTCCCCAGTGACGACTTTGTGACCTCCTTCTTTGTGGGCTTCAGCAACGACAGCCAGACATGGGTGATGTACACCAATGGCTACGAGGAAATGGTGGGTACCCAAGCCCTCAATTCTTAGCCCACTGTCTGGGCCACAGGTGGGCTCTCAGCTGGGGTGGGGATGGTCCTGAGGCCTGCCTTTCCCCAGACCTTCCATGGGAATGTGGATAAGGACACGCCCGTGCTGAGTGAGCTCCCAGAGCCAGTGGTGGCCCGCTTCATCCGCGTCTACCCGATCACCTGGAATGGCAGCCTGTGCATGCGCCTGGAGGTGCTTGGGTGTCCTGTGACTCGTGAGTGCAGGGGAGCTGGCAGGGGCTCCAAGGGGTGGCTGGGGTGACTGGGGAGGTTAGGTGGCCAGCTTAGGACCCTATCTGCCCACCCCTCTGCAGCTGTCCATAGCTACTATGCACAAAACGAGGTGGTGACAACTGATGACCTGGACTTCCGGCACCACAGTTACAAGGACATGCGCCAGGTGGGGCACTAGTCCCGGATATGACGTTCCTGTCCAGGGACAGGGCTCAGGGCTAACGGTATCTTGTGTCAGCACTCCCTCTCACATCCAAGACACAGCTGGGTGAAAGGGTTGGCCATCTCTCATTTAAGAAGGAATAACTATAAGAAAGTGAAAATCAAAATCAATAAAAACTATGAACCAGAGACACTTTTTGGGGGGTGGGGGGCGGGAGGAGAGGGATTGGGGTCAGAATGGGGGGATTGCAATTGTATGGGGAATATAAAAATAAAATTTATTAATTAAAAAAAAAAAAAAAAAGAAGGAACCCCCACAGCCTTTCCCTTCAGAGTTAGTGCCTAGAGATTGCTCCTGGGGCCTGGGATCACCTGCAGGGGCCTCTCCTACCATAGAGGTCTTCCCCATAAAGACCAGTTCACAGGGGTGGACTAGGGACACGGGGTGGGCTGTGTAACTCGGCGTCCTCTCCTACACCCAGCTGATGAAGATAGTAAATGAAGAGTGCCCCACCATCACCAGAACATACAGCCTGGGGAAGAGCTCACGTGGGCTCAAGATCTATGCCATGGAGATCTCTGACAACCCCGGGGATCATGAACTGGGTGAGGGTCCCCATATCATCCTGAAGGCATATCTCCCCCACATGGATTAGAGGCCAGTCTTGCTATAGATGGACCTGACCCTTGATATTCCCAGATCACCAAACCCTGGCTGTCCTTGGAGATCCTCTGGGGGTCCACTATGCCTGACTAGGCCTCACAAGTCTCAGTCGCTCCCTAGTCTCTGGGGCACGAGGCCTGTTTAGGTCCTTCCTCCAATCCCCCAGGCCTCAGGAGGCTGGTTGGTTGCTGAGGCTCCTGCCCTTGCAGGTGAGCCTGAGTTCCGCTACACAGCTGGGATCCACGGCAATGAGGTACTGGGTCGTGAGCTGCTGCTGCTGCTCATGCAATACCTATGCCGTGAGTACCGCGACGGGAACCCCCGGGTGCGCAGCCTGGTGCATGACACACGCATCCACCTGGTGCCCTCACTGAACCCTGATGGTTATGAGGTGGCAGCACAGATGGTAAGTGGGCAGGACAAGAGTTTGGGTTAGGGTCAGCATGGATGTGTTGAGGCGGGGCTGGGACCCTGGGGTGGACCTTGGCTGGGCAAGGGGACAGGGCTGGGGGGGCTCTGGGGCACATAAGAGATGCTGATGCTAACCCCATTGGTTCCCCCAGGGCTCAGAGTTTGGGAACTGGGCGCTGGGACTTTGGACTGAGGAGGGCTTTGACATCTATGAGGACTTCCCTGATCTCAACTCTGTGCTGTGGGGAGCTGAGGAGAGGAAATTGGTCCCCTATCGGGTGCCCAACAACAACTTGCCCATCCCTGAACGTTACCTCTCTCCAGATGCCACGGTGAGGCTGCAGCCTGGCCAGTAGAGCCTGGGGGAAGAGCCTAGGATCTGGGGTCCCAGAGCTTCAGACTTGGGGGCCCAGGTGCTGAGCCTGCAGGGATTTGGAGGGACAGAGGGGGCATGAGAACTCAGGGGTCCGGAATGTCGATGGAGGGTGCTGGAGGCTGTGGCCAATACCTCATGCTGTGGGCATCTCACCTCCAGGTGTCCACAGAGGTCCGGGCCATCATTGCCTGGATGGAGAAGAACCCCTTTGTGCTGGGAGCAAATCTGAATGGTGGGGAGCGGCTAGTATCCTACCCCTATGACATGGCCCACACACCGAGTCAGGAACAGCTACTGGCTGCAGCCCTGGCAGCTGCCCAGGGAGATGAGGAGGAGGTATCCGAGGCCCAGGAGACCCCAGATCACGCCATCTTCCGCTGGCTGGCCATCTCCTATGCTTCTGCGCACCTCACCATGACAGAGCCCTACCGGGGCGGGTGCCAAGCACAGGACTACACCAGTGGCATGGGCATCGTCAACGGGGCCAAATGGAACCCCCGATCTGGGAGTGAGTTGGTTGGAAGGGGCTGTGGTGGGGTGTTTGGTACAAGGTATGGGGTGACCGCAACACCATATCTGCCCTGTTCAGCTATCAATGACTTCAGTTACCTGCACACCAATTGCCTGGAGCTCTCCATGTATCTGGGCTGTGACAAGTTCCCTCATGAGAGTGAGCTACCCCGAGAGTGGGAGAACAACAAGGAAGCGCTGCTCACCTTCATGGAGCAGGTAGGAGTCTGGAAACATAGGGGCTGGCGGAGGGGAGAGATCACTGAGGGCTGGGGTAGGGCCCTGGGGGCCCACTTGCCCAGAGAAGCTGGATGAAATGGAAGCAGTGGGCCATCTGGGGTCTCCGTGTAGACAGAGGCCTTCTCTCTTCCTGCAGGTTCACCGCGGCATCAAGGGGGTTGTGACAGATGAGCAGGGCATCCCTATTGCCAATGCCACCATCTCCGTGAGTGGCATTAACCACGGGGTGAAGACAGGTAACTTGCGTGCACACCTCTGCCCTGCCTTCCCAAGGTGGAGGAGCAAATCCGTGTGGTCTTGATGAGGCAGGTGCAGCTCCTTTGACCCCTCCCAGAGGGTCTGCCTCAGGCAGAGGGAGACTCGGAAAGGGCTGGAGGGGGGCCTGGAAAGAGTGGGGATCTCAGAGAACTGGGGTGGTGGGGACTCAGAGGAGGACCCAAGGGGGAGCTGGGGGAGCTCAGAGGAGAGCTGAATGTACTGGGGGGGATGCAGAAGGGCCAAGGGATCTGAGAAGAGTGCTGGGACCTGTCCTCCCTCGTAGCGAGCGGCGGCGATTACTGGCGTATCCTGAACCCGGGTGAGTACCGCGTGACGGTGCAAGCAGAGGGCTACACCACGAGTGCCAAAACTTGCAACGTGGACTACGACATCGGGGCCACCCAGTGCAACTTCATTCTGGCTCGCTCCAACTGGAAGCGCATCCGGGAGATTCTGGCCATGAATGGGAACCGGCCCATCCTGCGCATTGACCCATCTCGTCCCATGACCCCCCAACAGCAGCGCATGCAGCGTCGGCGCCTGCAGTACCGACTGAGAATGCGCGAGAGACTCCGTAACCTCAATGCCACCATAGGACCAGTCACCCCTTCAACAGTGCCCCCCACGCCCTCCCTTGCACCCTCCCCTATCTCAAGCACCACCCTGACACCCTGGCACTTTGAACCAGAGACCACAACTAACTGGGAAGAGTTGGAGACCGAGACTTACACAGAGGTGGTGACGGAGTTTGGGACAACAGAGCTGGGGCCAGAGGAGGAGGAGGGGCAGCCGGGGGAGGAGGTGGGGGAGGAGATGGTCACAGGCCCAGAGTTCCCCTACACCACTGTTGAGACCTACACAGTGAACTTTGGGGACTTCTGAGAGTAGGTCAGCCAATGACCGGGTCAGCGTCATCTAGGCCAACCCAGCAGCTCTATCGAAGGTGCCTCTGGCATGGGCCCAGCCAGGGTGGGGCAAGGATGTAACCAAGACCCAGAATCAGGAGTCACTCAGGCTCCCGCTCCGTCCACCACCCTTACAGAAGATGGGCTGCTGACCTGGGTGATGGCAGGTTTAGCAAGTCCAGGGGGCAGACTTCTTAACCACCTGCCCAGGCTGCACCAATAAACCAAGCTTGTGGCAGATGCGTTGCAGACTGCTCGTTCTAATCTGCCTGGGGAACGGGGAGTGGGAAGAAAAGGCACATTTACATGGGCTTCCTCCACAGGAGTTCCTTAGCCCAAGAACTCAGCATCAAGTAATAGGCTTTATTTACAAAGCAAAAGCTCCCACAGTGCTGATGTTACAGAGAAGGAATAGCCAGGGCCCTCTGTCCGAGACAGCCTTGGAGTTAGGGGCCCAGATCCAGGTCATCCTCTGCCCCGAAGCCTGAGAAGCTGATGGGCTGGCAGGTCAGGCTGCGCAGGTTCACGAGGCAGGCAGTCTGTGTGGCACTGAAGTCTGGGACAGCCACCAGCAGCACGGTCTGGTCCTCAGGACCTGTAAAGCAGCCACCTTAGGTTCTGCATAAGCCTTCAAGCGCTCAAAGGGAAGTCACCGAATGTAAATAGATACCCTGCATCAGCACCAGCTGACAACACACATTCCTATGGACAGAAGGGGAAAGGGCTGACACACCATAAAGGTCATAGTCTAAAGCCCAGTGACCAGCACTGAACTCTGATGGCACCACAGGGGCATGTATGACTCAGTCCCTGCCGGGGCATGCTCAGCTGGGCCTCAGGCAGACCCAGGGCAACTCCACAGTGTAAGTTTCCTTCTTGGAATCTTGTCCCCACCTGAGAGTGAGTCCCCAGGCCCAGGATCCCCAGAAAACAACTTGCCTTGGATGATCTTGGAGCCAAAGCTGGGGGTGTTGCCACAGAAGTAGACATGCGGACACTCCGGAAAGACAAATGGGTCCATTTTGTAGAAGGGGTAACAACCTGGAGAAGAAGGGGCAATAGCTGAGAGCGGGCCTTCTCACCTCAGCACAAGGGGACATTGGGGTGGGGGTGGGGGGTGAGGGGGTTCCCAGATAGGAAATGGAGCATCCACCCTCAAGCTCTAGCTGCCCTGCCAGTTGTAACAACAGTTGGAGGGGCAAGTCAGTGTGCCCCTGCGGCCTCAGCCCTTCTGAGTGGGGACTGCAACAGGGTGCAGTGCTCTGACCAGCTCAGGAGCTCATTATGCTCCCATGGCCTTCAGCTCTAAGCAGGGCCTTGACCAGAGATGGAAGTAAGATTCCACGTAGCTTCCAGAACAATCATTGAGTTTTGGGACTTTTCTTTAAGTAGGTCAAGGTAAGGCTGGTGAGTGCAAGTCTATGCTGCAAACCCTCCAAGGATCAAGTGTCCCTGCCAGGCCTTCCCTGGCCTTCCGGCCCAACCCTGTGTGGCCGAGTCCTGTTACCAAGGGTGTCTGGGGCCGTGGGGCTGATGTGACGGACTCGCAGGGTCCACTCCAGAATCTCTAAGTGGTCTTCCATGCTGCTATACCGGAAAATGTCACTCACATTCTGTCCTGATGTCCCCAAAAATCTGCAAGGCAAGGCTCAGCTGACCCGCATGGAGGTGGGATAGGGGTTACCATTTACACTCCTCCCATTAAGGCCAGCCCTGAGCTCATCTGGTGCTCTCAATGGGGGTTTTCAAGACAACTTTGAGAAAGAGCCCAACTCCAGGTATGCCCTTCACAACCTGGAACCACCCCCCCTACCGCCAACATTGGTGTGCCTAAGGCAAAGGGGTCAGACCAGGGTGTGGTTACTGGCTACCTGACTCCATCAATGGTGGCCTGGTATGGGTTGGTAACCAGCTGGAGCGTGGAGTAGGCCGTGGCCAGTGGGAACATGCAGGGGTGCAGTGGTTGCTGGGGGAGCGTGTAGTTGGTTGGGTCAAATTCGCCTGGCATCACGTCCACAGGCACCGAGGCCTGGAGGGCACAGGAGCAGGTGAATTCACACGCCCAGTACCCTCCACATGTACCCCAGCCCACCTTCCTTTCCCGGGTGTGCCTTCCCAAAGGCCCCAATCCCAATTGCCTGCTGGCTCCCCAGCTCCTCACACTCAATTGCAGAAGGATCTCATCCAACATCTTGACAGCCTCCACGCTGGCTGCTTGGGTTTTCTTGGTTAGATACTTCGCCTGAAAGTAGACCCAAGTTGCCTGGCTAAAAGCAGAGTAAAGCCCCACCCACAAGTTTTGGGCTACTCCCCACAGCCCTTAAAAAACAGGGCTTGTGTACAGGTTGGAAGTTCCAGCATCACCGCAGGGCACTTCCCACTTGACCTGAGAGACCCCAGCTCTCTGCGGGGAAGGAGGGCTGAATGAGAGCAGGCAAGCACCTACCTTGTTGATAGAGTCCCTACTTTGGGTGCTGTGGCTGAGCAGGTTCCCAGCAAGTATGACCCGGGAGACCCGGGCAGCACTGCATTGCTCCCCTTCATCCCCAAGCTGCCCGGTCACTATGTCCACCAGCAGCTGAGTGCCCAACAGACTCTCGCCACCGCCTCCACCTAGGCCCAGACCAGACACCAACAGCACAAACCTGCAAGAGAAGTTGGGATCCTCCTGAGTGCCAAGAAAGGCAGCGGCCCCTAAGGCGGGCCATGTGGTGCCACTAGTGGAGCTCCATCACTGTAATGGGTGAGCAGGGGACAAGGAGCCCAGCACCTGCGCTTCTCAGGGACCGCTGCCCTCCACCCAATGCCAATATCTCACCGGTCTGAGTCAAGGGTTGGTGAGGGCTTCTGAGGAGCAAGCTCTGCAAAGCAGTGGTCCTCCACCAGGAACTTTCCATCATCTCTCACAGAGCCGAGCACAGCCAGGACCGTCCCTGGGGAGAAGCAGTGTCAGGCCCCAGGAGGGGAGCCAGTGGGCCTGCCTCCTCTTCCCAGTCACCCAGTGGGCAAGTCCAGTCAGCTTTCTCTGCTTTGCCAGCAAATTCTCACTTAGGACTCAGACCGAGCCTCTGCTTCCTGGGCCCACTGCCTTTGAGTGGAGGCAGGGAGACATGACCCCCTACCTGGGTCTCACCACTGCCTGACCCGAAACCCATAGCTCCAAAAATGCCCAAGTGCGCCAGCACCCCCCACTCTGCCCCTTACCTGTGACCAGCTTTGACACATCAATGGTGCCTTCCAGTTTGATGCGTTGCAATTCATCTTCCAAGACCAGTTCATCATCTGGGTGGATGTATTTGCTTCGAGGAGGCTGGGGGAGCAGGTTGTGCTAGAATTTGGAGATGGGAGGTAGTTTTGGGACCAGAGCCTACCAAGGCTCCCTTGCTGTATCAGCGAGATGGCAGTGCAGCCCCTATGCCCCCTTAGGCAGAGGCCTGGCCCCGATCCCATAGGTCCATGGCAGGTGACCCCATTGGTCTCCCCAGGAAAGTGTTCTGGGGCTAGCCCATGTGAGCAAGCCAGGCTTACCTCCTCGCTGACCTCCCGCAGGATGGAGGGCTGGAGCTGCATGGCCTTGAAGAGAGTCCCCACCACACAGCACTTCTCCCCAGGCTGCAGCTCACACAGTTTCTTTATTTGGATTCCACTGCCTGAGACATGAGGGGCATGAGCTCAGAGACCAGGCAGTCCTCCCAGGATCCCCCACGGGGCAGGTAACAGGCCTCAAGAGCACTGCAGTCCTGGACCCTGGCCTTTGCTAGGAGGCAAAGGACATCAAGTGCAAGGACTACCCAGATTAAAGGATCACTGTCCCAGGAGGACAGAAGGATCTGGATGTGGCTGGCCCTGCATACTCAGTGTTCCTCTGAAAGAGGCAGACACACAGGGAAGATCACGTGCAAATATAGCAGACTGGAGGGCACAAACCCAGGGACACCGGGGCTGTCACCAGAAGGTGGAAGAGGCAAGGAAAGAGTCCCTCCTAGAACCTTTGGAGGGAGCACAGCCCTGTTGACACCTGGATTTTGCACTCCTAGCCTCCAGAACTAGGAGAGAATAAATCTAAGTCACCGAGTTTATGGCTTTGTTTGTTACAGCCATAAAAATGAGCATCACCTCGTTTATAATTAAATTATAATACTGATTCTTAGAAAGAGGATGCCAAATCTCAACAGAGCCCTGCCCTAAAAATACTATAATTTTCTTTAAGAGTTGGATTCTTCCACCAGATCCCCCCAAATGCCTCATCCTCTGAAAACAAAGTTATCCCAAAATCAAATTTCATATCCACCCTCTCCTGGCCCCTGTGGAGTCAGGCAGCCCTGATCACCAGAACACCTGGATCCTGGGAAACAACACAGCCTCAGGAATGTGCAGGAAGGCACTGGGGAGATGCCTTGTCTGCAGCGGTCACTCAGGGGGCAGGGAAGGTGTACAAGTCCCAGGAGGCCCAGGAATCTGTCAGTACAGACGCCATGCCTGGAGAAAACAGTGTCAGTAGGCGATGGGATAACATGCATGCCTAACCAGCCCCTTCCTTAGCCTTGCTGGCTGAAGCAAGAGCCCTTCCTGCCCTGGAATAACTGAGAACATTCCACAGAGTTACACCCTGGGCAGTAGAAGGGAATAATTCAAAACAAGATAAGGAGGGAGCCTGCTCCATAAAAATGCCAGATACCAATGGAAACAACAGATCCCAAAGCCCTTACTCAGCCCCAGGTAGCTTGTGCCAAACACTGCAAGGAACTCATCCAGTAACAACATGCCAGAGCAAATATTAGCTCTCCTCCATATGGCTGAGGAAACTGAGGCACAGAGAGATTAAGTAACAAGTTCAGGTTTACACAGCTGGGATCCAACGTATGTGCCTGAGCACTAGGTGGAACATCTGTCTACTCAGACAGTGTGCAGGTTCCAGGCCAGACACCAATCTCGAGAACACTGAGCTTAGAGCCTCCCTCTCTCTCCCTCATTGAGCTTACAGCCTTGCGGGGAGAAATAACAGCAGTGAACGAGCGATCAGACACATCACAAGTGCCATGAACAAATGGGAACTGAGGCAGAAAATATGGGGAAGGCTCTGATGGTTGGGGTGGCATCTAGAAGCACATGACCCTTAAGATGAGGTCATGAGGCAAGACTGGGGAAAGAGTGTGCCAGGTGAAGGAAAAGCAAGAAAGGCTTGGTGAGTTCAGGAAGAACAGGAGTGGAGAAGGAATTCTGAGACAGGCTCTGGTGAGGAGCCCAGCCACATGGAGAAGCCACAAGGAGGTGTTGTGGGTGAAGCCAGCATTAATCACCAGGCCAAAGAATTAAAGTTGCTGCTGCCTGCCCTTGCTCCAAGTCAAGGTCCTGACCATCTTGGACCACTGAATCACATGGGTCTGAATTCCAGACCTCAATCTTAGCAGAATAAAATGGCTATTTATGTCACCGGGGAGCCTGGTCAGCAGCCACAGTACCTGGAAGCGAAATATAGTACCAGAGAGGAATAATGCAGAAAAGAACGCAAGATGTGGCACGAGCACCACTGGAGGAGGGCGCCCAGGGGACTTAGCGGGTATTGAGGATAAAGGACACTGGACATCAGAAGAGACCCTCATTATATGGCAGAGGAAATGCAAGAAACACTTTTGCCAAAGTTAAAAAAAAAAAACAAACAGAAAATGTCCCTCATGAATATGATGATCTAGCTAGGAGACTTCAGTCAAGTGTTCTCCTGGCTGCCTGTAATAAAACAAGAGCCAATCCAGCCTTCTTGGTGTGACGGGATAAGCCTAAGCACCAGGGCTTCCCAAAGCTTTCCGTATGACTCCAATGTGCAACCAGGGCTGAGACCTACTAAACCTGGTACCAGAGGCAATAAAAATGAGTAAGACATGGTCTCACCTGCAAAAATTTCAATTTAAAAACATGACAGATGAATTTAAAACTTATATGGAAAGTCACTTAAAAAAAAAAAAGATTTATTTATGCACTGGGGTGTAGTCCAGAGGTGCAGGGGTGAGAGGATTCACCAGAGACAGAGTGGGAAGCAGAACAGGCAGATTGACTGAAATACACTGCTGAGGGGAGCGGGGGGGGGGGGCGAGACTGGAGAGGTCTGCTACGCCATGTGGGTAGCTCCCTGGACAGCAGGGGATGGAAATCCTGCTGCAGAGGCTGAGGATAGCTTCACTGTGCAATATTTAACTTTGCGCTTGGGAAGCCCAGAAAGCCACTTTTATAGCTAGTAAGAATGGGGTAATATAGCCAGCATAACTCAAAAGTTGAAAATGGGGGTCCTGCTTCATCTACAAGATTAACTTAACTGCAAGAGATCACTAAGAAATGGGAAAAAAAGAAAAAGGTTTGCATTGCCCAGGCCACTTAATGAGGAAAGACCAAAGAGCCCAAGGAACTGACACTCATGCCCAACAAACAGGGGAGGCCAGGAGGATAAGAGACTCACATCAGTGTCCACAAGGGCAGTCCCCTCAAGAGTGGAGTGATTGTTTCCACTTGGCCTCAACTTCTGGTGGCTGGCACCTGGCCTGCCACACTGAGGTACTTGCTAGCCACAGCATGAACAAACACGAATAAACACACTGGTGATAAGGAAAAACATTTTTCTATGCCAGTGAAATAATCCCTGTCACCCCCAGAAGCAAGTCCTACCTCCATCCACACTCTGGACTAAACCTAACTTTAAATCCACAAATCCCCTAATTTAATCCTTATAAGTACTTGAAGAAGAAACTGAGGTATCAAGAGACTAATTTTCCCAAGGTAACTGGGAAGTAGGAAAAGGTAAAGATTCCATTTCTCATACTTCTTGGAAAAACCCCAAATGCATTCTGGGATGGGAGGTCGAGGGGGAGTAGGGGAAGCACTCCCCTAAACCTGTCACTTACCCCAGTGCTGCTTGGCCCGGCTCACCAGGTAGGGTCTCATTTGGATGAGGCGGGTGGCATAAATGTGGGCATACTGCCGGCTAAAGGTGCGCTCCCCCAGTCGGAAGGGCTGCGAGGAGTTGGTGTAAGTTGCCACAGGAACCCGAGCAAAAGTGGCATTGTTGGCTGACGGCGGGGACAGCAGAGTGTGGGCCCTCTGCGCGGCCTGCTCGGAAAACATGGTGGTGCTTCTTGTGTCCAGAACCCTGTGGCCAGGCCAGGGAGGTGGTGGTCACTGTGAGGACACAAATGAATTCTTTTAAAACCTGCTCACCCCAGAGCAGTGTCTTTCCTCGTGTGCCTATCTGAACCCAACTGACCACACTGTACACACAGGGCACTAGGAAAGCAGGGGACGAGCTGCAGCCCACACCACCTGGAAGTCAAAACCACACTGGAAATCTGTGGTGCTGGATACCAATGTCTTGCCACAACCCTCATGCAAAAAGGGAGAAAAAGAAAAGCAAGGTGTGCTTCTCTCACCATAGCCTTCTCCTATCTGACTCAGTTGCCCACTGACAGCTCCACACCTCCTAGCTGGGTCTCAATTTCACACCCCCTAAATAGAATTCCTCATCTGGCCCCATGTAGCTCCCAGCACCAGCTCCATCTCAGGATGGAAGCCAGCCTTATTACTCCATAAGTCTACCTTTTAAAAATGAGCCTATGATTACATCATAAAAATAAAGCATATCGTAAATCAGTCACTCTCCCACTCAAAACTCTCCAAAGGTCCCCCATCTCACTGAATACAAATAGCTCACTGACGACAAACTGGAGTCCCTACAATGGCCTGTAAGATCTGCCCTCATTGTGCCCCACCACACCATACACGCGCTGGCTCACTAGCTCCTGTAATTATTTCATCTCCTCCTGTAATTATCTGACTTTTAACTGCACCTTTCCCCATGCCTGCTTCTCCAATTTTTATTTTTCATAGCATTTACCTTCCAACAAAAGGCATACTTGAAGTTTACTGTCTTCCTCGTAGCGGCACCCCAGCTGCAGAATGCTGAGGCTGCCTGCGGTGGGAGCCCAGCGAGTGCGCCGTGGGCCCATCCACAGGGGTTCAGGGTCAGCGGGCGAGGGTCAGTGCCCTGGGGGCGGGGGGAGGGCAGCGATTCCCTTACACACGTGATGGAATGCTAGCAGCTTGCAGGTAACGTGTTAAATAAGATCCGCGCTGAAGCAGGCGTCTCCTCTTTCCTTCACCTCTCAGCACTGCTGTTAGCAGGTCAGATCTCCCAGGTGGGGCGGATCCTGTTTCTATCCCACAACAGCGGGTCGGGACGCGACTCACTGGCGCCCAAAGTGCAGTGGGGGAGGCCCTCGGCTGTGCCCCGCGCTCCGGGCAAGCTCGGTGACCAGTTTAGGCTCCGCAAGACGCCGCCCCACCCGCAGCTCCCAGCCCCGACCGCCGCGACCCCAGAACCCACGCACCTACCTCCGAGCCGCTCGGTCCTCGGCCGCATCCCGCCAACCTGGGCCCCAGGCATCCCGCCAATCCGCGCGCCTCGCCCCGCCCATCGCCGCCCTTCACCAATCCGCGCGCTCATCGCCCACGGCCACATTCCTCCAATCGCCGCGCTCTTCGCTCCGTCCATCACAACGTGGCCCGCCCACCGCCCCGCGCCATGTCCCGCGCATCGCAGCGCGCCGCCCCGCCCATGGCCGCGCGTCCCGCCGGTGCGCGCTGCGCTGAGGCGGAGCTACGCCCCCGCTCTGGGCTGCTGGGGAGGGGTCGGCGGCCCTGCGGACCCTGGTTTGTGCTTGAGAGCCAGGGAGCGCGGGCTGCCGACTTACTCTGACGCTGTGGTCGCCTGGCGTCCCGGGTAGTTGGCGCACCTCGCATTGCTCCAGGGCCGGCTAGGGCGCCGGGCTTTGCGGTGGACGCTGGTGCGGGGCGCACGGCGGGGACTGACGCGAAAGGCGGCCCTGCCCGGGGAAGGGGAAGCCCGGCGGGAGCGCAGAGCCGGGAGCAGGGCTGGGCGCTGGGGTCCAGACCGCGGTGGTCTTACGTTTAGTCGTTGCGCTCTGGAAGGGGTCCCCACAGGACCATGGCCCTGCCCAACCTCCACCCACTCTCTTGGGGATCCTCCCTCCCTGTCATAATCCACACTCCTTCCTAGCACGCTTTGCGGGTGCCGACCCCGGCTCGGGGCGCCGCTGTCACTTCTCCACTAAGTCGCAGAAGCCCCAAGCGGTCCGGAGTGGTCCTTCCCCAGGCAGCTTTCCTCTGCCCCGCCCCAGCCTCAGGATTGTATCTGGGTCGTCCTGTAACCAAAATGGCTCTGCTCGTTCACATGCTTCCTAAAGCTAGGTCTGGCATCCACAACAAAGTGCGTAATAAGATTGGGACACCAAAAACCCATGCTACCAACTTGCCTGTATTTTAAGTTCTTCACACATATTAATTCATATAATCCTCAAATAACTCTTTGAAAGCAGCTATACTCCCATTTTATGGGTGAGGAAACAGGTAGAGAGAGGTCACACAGCTAGTAGCAGCTGGAATTCACACCATGGCATGCTGACTTATTAGCCTGTAAAGTTTAGTGTGCTGTGTCTCCACATGAACAAGTACCCCCCTCAAGGTCAGCTGAAACATACAAGTAATTAGTCACCACACTGCCCCTGCCATTTATTAAGGTATTTGTTTAACATCTGTGCAGTACAGACTGAATTGGGTAAGTCTGCCCTCAGAGCCTGCCACATGGTAGACTCCCACTTCAGTCTATATTTGTTGAATGAATACTTGGGGGTGGGAGGGCAGGCAGTGTGTTAAATGTCTTATGAACAATAAGTAAACCTGAGGCTGTGTCAGGCACACAGATGGAGCAAATGACAGCATCTGGGACAGACAACCTAAACAACAGTCATAGTAGGAGTAATGGTGGCTGCTGGAGGGCAGGCAGAGTCAACAGGGTATACTGCCATGTGGTGCAGGCACTGCTGCATGCTAACACATTACCCTTCCCTAACACCCCTTTCACCCCCTTACTGTCTAAAAGGATGGAAAGGCTAAATGCTGACTTTCTGGGGCCTCCCTGGCAGTCAAGCATGGCGATGAGTCAGTTCTGGCAGACACAAGGGGAAGTCTGGCGGTGATGGAGGTTTGGACTTCTGAAAATCTGCTTTTGTAATAAGGGAGGGGTGCAGCCTGCTGTCCCTCCTTTCTGTCTTGAATACAGTAGGTGGCAGTGTCCTGCATTCATGGGAAGATCCCAGAGATGCCAACTCAAAAACTGTAACCTCTGGACCAATTGCTGACTTTTTATATTATGGTAAAACATGTTTAGTTTACTTAGATTTTTCTGGGTTTTCTCAATGTGAAACCAAAGATGTTCTCTAATGAAACATGTAGATAATATAAAAGGGCAAAATGGTGTGCCTGAAGACTTAACAGAAGTGGTGCCCTTGGGATGGAGCCTTTAAAATAGGCACATGTTTGCACTGAAAGGAAAGACTGGATGAGAGTCCTTACAGGGAGAGGGCCTTCTATGATGCTATTTTTATTTTAATAAAAATTTATTATGGTAAAATAGTAGTAGTGTCTTCTATACAGAAGTGTTAGCACTCTGACCCAACTCAGGGCTCAACTGTTCTGTATTGTGAACCTTATATTCAAGCCATTAGTCCTAGTTTTATGCCCTCATATCTGTAATTCTCTCAAAATGCATCCTCTGTCCTGGATGCTTGTTCTTGCACCCCCTTATCTAATGCAGTAGTGTGTCTTAGGAACCCAAGTAATAACTGTAGGTGTGTCTGCCCACAGCCACTCCTCCCTCTTGTGGGTTGTACTGCATCTTTTCTAATTTTTTTTAGGAATTTATAAATATATATATATATATACATATATTTTTACATCATTGTTCCTTTTTGTACAATGGATGCTTGTATGCTTTCTCCTTTTAGGTGTCTTCCCCGTAAAATTCCCACCACCAATTCACCTGTGAACCATCACCATAGTCCCTGGTGCTCTTCTCTTCCTTGTTTTGGGTGGGCCCTCTTCCTCCCCTTCCTTGCAGAATGTCTCTGCTTTGTGGTTGCTTGCTAATTTTATCTTTTTTAAGTTGTTATTATTGTTACATATTTTTTCCTGGTCCCTTATTTGGTTCCCCTTTATTCCTCCTATAAGTGAAACCATCCAATATTTTTTTTCCTCGTGGCTTATTTCACTGAGCATAATCCCTTCTAGCCCCATCCATGTTGCTGCAAATGTCATGAGCTTATCTTTTTGATTACTGAATAGTATTCCATTGTGTTTATATACCACATCTTCTTGATCCATTCATCTATTTTTGGGCATTTGGGTTGTTTCCATCTTACCTATTGTAAATAGTGCTGCAATAAACATAGGGATACAGGTATCCTTTTGAAATAATGTTTTTGTGTCCTTTGGATAGATTCCTAGGAGTGGAATCGCTGGGTCATATGGTAGCTCCATTTTTAGTGGACTGAGGAACCTCCTGACAGCTTTCCATAGTGGTTGGACCAGTTTGTACTCCCACCAGCAGTGTAGGAGAGTTCCTTTGTCTCCACATCTTTGCCAATATTTGTAGTTGCCTGTTTTTTTTTTAATGTGTGCCATTCTCACTGGTGTAATGTGGTTTCTCATTGTGATTTTGATTTGCATTTCCCTGATTATAAGTGATGTTGAACATTTTTTCATACCTGTTGGCCATTTGCATTTCCTCTTTGGAGAAGTGTCTGTTTAGCTCTTCTGCCCATTTTTTCTTTTTTACAGGATTGTTTACTTTGTTTTTGTTGAGTCATGTGAGCTTTTTGTAGATCTTTGTGATCAGTCCCTTATCAGCTTTATTGGGTGCAAAAATTTTCTCCCAATCAGTAGGGTATTTCTTTGTTTTGGTTGGTGTCTCTTTTGCTGTACAGAAGCTTTTTAGTTTGATGTAATCCCAGCTGTTTATCTTTTCCTTCACTTTCTTGGTTTGGGAGATGAGTCTTTAAAGATGTTACTGAGATGTATGTCTTTAGTGTTTTACCTATATTTTCTTCTATATATTTTATGTATTCAGACCTTATGTTCAGTTCTTTTATCCATTTTGAGCTGGTTTCTGTGCATGGTGTGAGGTAGTAGTCTAGCTTCACTCTTTTGCACTTAGCAGTCCAGTTTTCCCAGCACCATTTATTGAAACTGTCCTTGTTCCATTGTATATTCTTTGCTCCTTTGTCAAAGATTAGTTGTTCATAAATATGTGGGTTTATTTCTGGGTTTTCTATTCGATTCCATTGGTCTGTGTATCTGTTTTTGTTTCAGTACCATGCAGTTTTAGTTATTATGGCTTTGTAGTATAGTTTGAAGTCTGGGCGTTTGATAGCTCCAGTCCCCTTCCTTTTAGTCAGGAGAGCTTTGGCTAATCGAGGTTTTTTGTGGCTCCATGTGAATTTTTTTCTGTTTTTTATTTTAACATTTATCATTTTTTAAATTTTTTAAGCAATATTTGCTTCCCCCCACCCCCTCAGATTGAGTCCCCATAGAATTTCCTTCCCCAAGGCACCCATGCACCATCACCACAGTCCCCTGTGCTCCACCTTCCCTCCCTCTGATCCCTCTCCCTCCTTTTCCCCTGCAGTATGTCTCTGGTTTATAATTGTCTGTTTTTGCTTTGTTGTGTTTTATACTGTTATTATTATTTTTTTTACACTGGTGTCTTGTTTGGTTCCCCTTTATTCCTGTTATAAGTGAAACCATCTGATATTTTTCTTTTTCCTTCTGGCTTATTTCACTGAGCATAATTCCTTCTAGCTCCATCCATGTTGCTGCAAATGGTGCTGCAGGGGGCCTTGTTGCCCCAGCCAGATAAGACACTGGCAAATAGCTAAGCTGAAGGGCCTCACACCATGGGCCTGAAGTTAAAGGGCCTCACACCGTGGGGCTGAAGATTCCTTGTGCCTCACACCATGGGGCTGAAGATCTAACATCCCTTCGTTTTTTGTTCTTGGTCATAAAAAGAGAAAAATTTATCAGAAAGTACATTAGGCAATAAATTATATGCATCAGTATACTGCAAATAAACGGCATGGAAAATTATCTTTTTAGAAATTAGTTATTAAACAATTTGGCCCACTTGACAATGGGAGACAATTTATTGTATGTATCTGACAAGCAATCCAGCACAACAATTATAGTAAATCCTTCTTTTGCTTTTTCAGAAGTTTCCTTTTTTTTAAAGAAGTTTCTTAGGGAAGTTTTTAAATGAAGTTAACTGTGTTAAGAAGTTTCTAGGCAAAAAAGTTCTGATAGCTGAGAAGCAGCTGGTCTCCAGCTAAAGGCCATATGAATAGAAGAGTCTTTTGATGCTTAGGCTTTATCTGATAGGGATGTACTGGCGGCTATCAATTGTCTTAGGTAATTGTCTAGCTGAAATAATAAGTTTTAGTGTTAGGTTTGGTTTTTTATTTATTAACCTTGAAGGCTACCGTCTAGCTGAGACCCATAGGAGCCAGTAGTCCATGGGAATAAAATACACTAATTG